ATAAATAATGTTTATATCATTCCATTGCTAGAAGAGTCTAAATCCATGTATCATGTTGATAAGGTGTTGCAATAACCAAAATATCCATTACTGCCTTCTAAAACTTATAAGAAAAAATACAAATTGCAAGTATTTATAGTACCCTAAACATCAAACTTTTGAAGTCAGAAGTACAAAGCAAAGTGTCTATATATGCCAAAGTAGTAGAGTACTCCATTACAAGGAGTAGTCTCTCAGCTATCATCCCAGTATATCTACTACACTATAACTATGACTAAAACCAGTTTCATTGGTTACAGAAACATCTGAGGCTTTCCAACATGCTTTCTGACAAACTTTCCCAGGCAAAATGGAAGAGCTGTGATGAGGGTTTAAATGGAGACATACTCTATAACAAAAAAAAAAAAAAAAGGTATTTCCCATAAGCAGATCTAATTAATAATTTAATAATTCTTCAAGAAGTTGGCAATATGCCTTTTTTCAGGGAGACATAGAAACTGGTTTTGCTCTTTGCAGCTTGATCAGTAGAAATGCCTGATATCGCAGTAGCAGAGGAGAAGGAGGTGAGGAAGAGATTAGACTGGCCATTTTGCAGCTTTCTTATTCCTGAAGAACCGTTAACTTGGAAATCAGTGTAGTTTAAAACATCAGACATTCTGAAAATGCCAGTTTTCCAGTTTACTTTGAAAAAGTGTTGATACTTTTTTGGAGAAAAAAGAGCCAATTCAGCATAATTAAAATTATTTCCAATGTTATATTTTTTCATTGAAAGTTATAATTTATTTATTTTTATTATTTTCAATGAGCATTTCCTTTCCTTTTTTTTTTTTTTTTTTTTTTTATACTGAAACAATTATTTTCAACTCTAAGAAAAATGTCTCTGATATTTTTCTTCTGTGTTCCTCTTTCACTGTAAATGTTATGATTTCTGCTTCTTTGTGATCTAGAATGAAGGACATTTCAAAATGTCCTGGACTGGTTAAATTATTAAAATCTGTTTCTTAGCAAGACCTATTTGTAAGTAGTGGCAAAGATTCACATTGATTTATGTTAATGAAAAAGACTAACTCTGCCACTTGCATCATCAGTAAATCTATATCATCCTGATTTAAACTTCTTCCTCAGCATTACTTTTGCAAATGTTTGATTTAGCTGCTTCTCCTTCTCCTTTGCTCTTTTATATGGGTATTTTGTGTATAAGAGGGGAGCTAAAAAGATGGGGAAGCAGGGTTATATTAGTGTGAGGAGCTTCCAGGGCAGGCTTCCAGGGCAGCTTTGCCGGCTCTTCTCTCCCTAGCAGCATCGCCTTGTCCTGCTTCGCCATCCTGAAATCATCATGCTCTTCAGATGTAGTCTTTCATTCTTGGCATTAGTCATAATCATCAGTTTGTCAGGTGTGTGTTCTGGCCTCTCCCATACACCTCTGTTTACTCTTCCTCCTGTTGCCAGTCTGTTCCTCCCTTCTTCTCCATTCCTTTCCATGCTTCTTTTCTACATTTCCATCCTCTAATCCCAACTATAGTCCTTATGTGCTTTAAAAAAATGCCTCATAGCGTTCACTGTGCCTCCAAACCAATCTCATGATTTTATGGTTATAACTCTTGTTTTTGTTATAACTCTTGTTTTGCTTCCCCTTTCTGCTTCCTTTGTCTCCTGCCATTATGTCATTTCTATTCAGGCTGTCATCTCTTCTGGAAAGGGATTTTTCTTGTTCTCTGTTTTGCAAAGCACCTGGCATGTTTTTGATTCTGTCAAACAAACAATAACAACAGATATAAAATTGGCAGTGCAGCAGAATCCTGATATCAGGAAGTAATAGAGGCAAATTATACTATCATTGTCATCTCCATGTATACACCATTACTTGACAAAAAATATTGTTGATTCACTAGGTAAACATCAATAAACCCAAAGACTCCCAAGCAAACAACTCTACCATGAAGGAAATGTAGCTGTGTTTCACATTTTTCTTAATGAGCCAGGTTATAATTGACAATTGTAGTATTTAAAATAAAGGATGTAAATTAATGAGGTGCCGTGTTTTTTGTTTGTTTGTTTGTTTGTTTGGATGGGTGTTTGGGTATTAGGGACAGGGAGAAGATGTTGATAATTCTTTAATACAGAGAAGCAAGAAAAGGGTGGAACAGCTGTGTTAATTCAGTTTAAACTATACTTAATTTAAAAAAAAAAAAGATTCATATGAACTATAAACTAATATAAACATATAAACTAATCAGGTAGAATCTTCTTTAGCCTGGTATTATCAGTATTGTTGAAGAATCTTATACAATACTTTGACTTTTCTTAGTCATTACAAGATATTAGGCACCCCAAGGCAATGTTAAGCAAAAGCCTAAAAAATATATATATATATATATTTTTTAAGTTTTTAAAAAAACTTTTAATGATGGCAGATTGGCCATATGGAATCTCTAAAGAAATATAGCTTTAGAACTAATAGATTTAGGCCAGGATTTTAAAAATATATGTATATATTATAAATATGGTTAGCAACCTCTTGGCTAAATTATTTGAAAATTCCTGAGAGAAAAGCAATCTATTACAGACTTTGAGACAAGTCAATGTAGTACTAATACTAAAGAAAAATAAACCAGAAGAGGAATGTCCCCCTACCATACCAACCAATATTCTTACAGTTGATTCCAAAGCAGCGTATGTTATTCTGGCACACAGATTAGATTATTTAACAGTGTGAATCAGAGGGGAGATACTTATTCAGAAAAAGAACACTATTAATACTTTATAGCATGCCATACATCTCTGTCACCAGACTGGACAAAATGGCAGCAGATGTTTTATGATAAGCTGAGAAGAGGATCTGACAATATTAATAGCCATAATACTTGAGTTTTAGGGAAAAAAAAAATGGCTAAAGGAAGCAATCTGATGGAGTGACATAACGTTTCTTCATCTCTAGTGTAGTGTAATTTTGCATGAGGGAAGGAATCAACTAAGCTACACCTCACTTCTATTAGCTTTTATTTGCACCTGCCCTTTGAAACCTTAGTAATTCATGGAATGCATGAGAAAAGAAAGCAGCAAGAGAGAACTCTGAGAATAAATTCCTTCCAAAAAGTATACTTTTTTTTTTTTTGACTCATTTTTTTATTATTTAGAAGGCAAGTATGTCTTTGAATTAGTAAAAATGATTGACATGTGAATTTATGCAAAGCTAAAGGCAACTGTTAGTCAGAGATAGCTCTTAGATATATAGGTATTTAAAACCTCAGGTTATATTTTATTTGCAATGCCTCTACTGACTTTTTTTGGTCAGCACCAGGATGAAGGCCTTTCGATCAAGAGATTAATGGTATAGTGTATGTATACCCTGGACACTGGCATGGCTTTACTTTGGGCTGCGTGTATCTTGTTGTCACTGCCAATTACTGCCTTTTATAGAGCAGAGACCAGGTGCAAGCTAACAAGTATGAAACATCAACAAATGGGACAAGAGTGTCCCTGTGTCACACATGATAAATCAATTTGATTATTTCTTTGCATCTGTATGACCTAGCTATTCATTATCAATGCTTCATGTCAGGCTGCCCTGATGCTCAATGTCATTCCAGGCCTATATCTCTGGGAAGATATAGAAAACTGAAATGGACATTCAAGAAACTGAAGGACAAAGAGAGTGGCTAAGCTGTCTAGACAAGATATGCTGAAATGAGGACGGGGTTTCACTTCCTGTTTCGGTCAGCTGTGTGGTCAAAAGTAATACTCATTTATCCAGGTTCTGCATACCAAGGCCATACATGTATTCAGTAACGGAACAAAAAGAGCACATGCATAAGCTACCAGCCACACCCTAACTCCATAGAAAGGAAAGTCAGTGTGAACTAGTACTCAGCACACTTAAGGGGGTCCTGGGTATGCCAGCATGCATCCCAGCAGTAAATCTGTTTGTGCTCTGATGAACATTTTTCAGGGATTCATAACCTCAAACCTTCTCTAAAAGTAGATGTCTAAATTCATCCTTTCAACAGAAAACACATTATAAAAGATCAAAGAGATAATAAATATTTTATCTAATAATTGAGCAATGGCAGAATGATGTGGGAAAGCCCAGATTCACTGCGGTACCTACAAACCAAGATATTAGCTCTTCTGGAGCATGGCAGGCCACTCAACCTCTTGCATGAAAAAAGTCGAATTTACTTAAAACATAAGGCTCCTTGTTCCCAGAGAAGTGGCCTAAACACCAATTTCAGAATAAGAGGGAAGGTATTTATGTGGTTAAGGAAGGGAAGAAAGTGCAGGAAAGAATTGTGGAGATAAAGCCTGCCTGTGGAGCATCTTGCTAAGCCTGATAAACCTTTTTCCAGGCAGCAGATGCAGCTCAAAGTGCTTGGCTGTATGTGCATATCTACAGACACTCACCCTTCCCACATGTTGCCTTTCTCTTACCTTCCCAAAGCCCAAAGCTATAGGGTCAGTCTTAGACTTATTTTGCCTTTCTGCGTAAAACAACTGTGTAAAATTTCTCTGTGTCCTCAGAAAAGGAGTAGGCCGTTTCTCAAATCACAAAAAATAATGAGTCTTCCTGAAAACAGAGGTAAAAGGATGCCAGATAAGAGTTACATTTACATCGGCTATGTATCCTGAACTGTGTGTAGTTACAATTCATCTGTTAATAAGCATGAAGGGAGTCAGTCTGTCCTGTTGCTTTGGCTGTTGTGGTAAACAAGGATAGAAAGTGAATTTAATAAACGCCAGACATCACCTCTCTGAGATATCTCCATACTTTTAAGAAATGGCTTTTACCAATTTACATCATATTCACGTGCTCACCAGTACTCACTGACCTTAGCTAACAAGGACTTCAATCACCTAATGGCATTAAATAGGAAAACAACAACAATACAATGAACTTGTGGTCTAATCTCTACCAAACACAATATTTTGTTCTGCAAATGTATGCCATGAAAGCTCTATGACAAACATGCAGATGTTTGCTAACATACATGCTTTCTGTTTTGATATCTAAAGTGAAGCACCATCAATCAAGCACATCAAGTCTGTCTTCATAAGCTTTTTTTTTTTTTTTCCAAAAAAATTATTAAGCAAATTTCCCGTGCTGAAAATGGGTAGTATTTATAGGAAATACTTCCAAGTTAGAAATGTAATTCTAGTGTAAACCATATTTTTTCTTCAGCAAATAATTCAAAAGCAGGTAACACAGGTAAAATATTAATTTCCATTTGACTTTCTGTATGAGTTTCATTAATTCATAAAGTCCTCATCTCTCCTCCCCCCTACTCTGAAACAGTCCCCTTGCTAGGTGGTCTGATTTGTCTCATTCAGCTCCCTCCACACTTAGACTGTTCTATCAATGTGAAGATTTGGATATTATTTTACTCCATTAGCTTATATCATTGGTGTTCCTGGGCAGTTCACTCGTAAGCCTGGCTGATTCACCTCTTCTGTATACCTCCCAACCCCCTGCCACTTTTTTAGTTTTGTTTTGACCAACAGTATTGACTTCTGCATTTAGAATGTGGCATTGATCTCCCCAACCCATAGATTTTTGATCACAGAAAGAGATGTAGGGAGCCTAGCAGCAGTACCAAACATGCCCACAGCTTGTAGTTGCTTTAAAGAGGGAGAGCATGACAGGAAAGAGTATGGAAAACCTGCACACTCAATCCTGGTAAATTATCTAACAGCATTTATCATCACTGGGGCACTAAATGTCCATTCCTCACTGCCCACTTCCACTCATCCCCCAGTGAAGCGTGGGTGCTGCTAGGTGTTAATGACTCAGACGGGAAGAGTTGGAAGTAGAGCATACTTCAAAATTAGTTTCCCTCTTCATGGCTGGGAAAAATAATCCTCAAAATTCAGAGACATCTCTGCACAAGGCAAAGGCAACAAGTATGGAGACTTGGAAAGGGGTTTCAGTGCTGTAATACAAGAAGATATCACCCTGAGGACTGGAATGCATACCACTATGCTAAGCAAGGAGTGTGATGAGATAGGAAAAACTGAGGTTTGCAACAGACAGCACACAGTCTGTCTGGGATAGTTTTGCCAAACATCAAAAAGGATTTGTATTTGCACAAGTTTAGGGAACTTAGGCATTGAAACAATTATTTCAATTATTTCTCTTAAAAAGAGCACTACAAAGAAATACCTGAAAGATTTATTGATTTATTTATTTATTTACTTATTTATTCCTCCAAACTCCTACCTTTGGCAGTGGATGAGCTGAAGTATGCAGGGAAATTATATAATAAGGTGTATCCTTTATCTCCAGAATAGCATTGAATTAGTTGTCCAATTATAATACTGAGACCCAGCAATATAAAGAAGAATCTTCATTAATAATCCCCTTCCATGCCTTGTTGACCCAGTTTCTTCCATAGGTAGGCAAATGAATTGCATTTAAACCTAACACTGTCTTTGCATCTTCTCCAGCATCCTGTGGTGGCACAAACACTCTCAACTAGGGAAGAAGATACTTTTATTTTGTGTAGGGTAATATAAGGGAGAACTTACGGGGTACTTGATTAAAAGAGACAGTAGGGGGTCGTGGGATGAGGCAGGCTAAGGACAAGGGGTCTACATGGCAAAGATCCTGGAAGAGAAATATAAAGACTGCCCAAAGTCACCCACAGGTCCACCACCTTTTTTCAGCCCCTTTTTTTTCCACACAAGGAGCCCCATCACCCCAACCAATCTTCTAATGCCTTGATCATCTTATTATTCCACTGACCTGATATGGAAGCATTGCTGTTGCCAAGGTCAAACTCAATAAATGAAAGAGAAATCTTGGTCTAATTCTGTTACAGAATTAGTTTATTATTATTTTTTTTTCTTTTCTTAAGGACTTGTACATTCTGCATTTGTGGTCTAGTTTCAATGACAGTGACAGAGGACATCTACCCAGAACACTCCGTAATTTGGTAGCTTGACTATTTTATGGGGGAAAGCCACACACACAGAATACCCAGTAGTATTATGAAGATAGACCCAGTTCTTTCTGAACACAACCCTAGCCACTATCTAAAGACCCTCATTTCTGGTCTTCAGGAGGTATCTGGATGCATTTTCTAAGTTTATTCAATGAAAATCAGATTTCTCATGATTTTTACTATGTGCAACCTCAATGGGAGAACACATTTATTTTTTTATAACTATGACTGAAAAGAACGCTCTGGAGAGAATCTGAGATTGCTGAACCTTCTATTCTGAAACTACACATACATTCTTGTTATAAGATGGTTGGTCCCTGAGGAAAGAAAATTGAAACATTTTCCAGCAAACATCTTAAAAATAGACATGTAACCCTTCAGGAAGCCAGTGGAAGCTGGCATAGTAAGACAGGTTGAATGATAGTGAAGAAATTGCCTGAACAATGTCTCTACAGACATGAAATGTGAGAGATCAAGGTGTATAAAGTCTTCAGTCTGGCCTCTTTTCAAGCAAATTTTTGATGCCCTATTAAAACAAATGGATGATTTTTCCTCTCAGTGAGACTGCGGTCTTTGGAGCAAGATGTTTGTTTCTTAATACATGAAATAAACTCATGTATTTCATGATAATTCTAAGGAAATAATTAGCAAATAATTGATATTGCACTTGATTAACCTTACTGACTCCTCAGTATTTCTTCTTTTATTTATTTTTTTTCCTTTGGCAGAAAATAGGAAAGATTTAGTTAAGGACTTGGGGCTTTATGTTCTCTGGTTTATAACTGGTTTTAAATAGCTCAGAGTCCAGAAACTCTAATATCACCAACATACATAAATCTTTGGATTTAAGCATTTAGTGTGTTTTTCAATGCTGTCCATATTACAATTCATCAGATGAACTCTAAGTTGTAGTTTTTCATTATTGGTATTAATTATTATTAGCAGCACAGTTCTACAATTCATTATTTGGTTCAATTAAATACAGAAGCTTTGATCCGTGGATGAATAGTTTTCCTGTTCCTGATTTAGCTATTCTGGCACTAGGAATTATGTCTTGTTTTGTCCAAGATTCATTTGGCTGGCTATGCAAGTTTCGCTTGGTTGTATCTCATCTTTTTTCATAGGCTATCAAGACATCAACTATTTTTTGACTTGTGGTTCTTTTTTTGGGCACTAATCAAACAATAATTTCACCCAATTTTATAGTATCAGTGCTAAAATCTGCTGTCATTACCCTAGATTTAAAGAAAACTATTCTAAAACATACTGAGAGTAAATATCATCATTTTATGTTTTATTTACAGGCTTTTAATGTAAATTTCTCCTTTCATGTCTCTTTCAAGTCTGCTTGAATGAGCTGCATATTACCAGTTGCTTTCCCATCTGTCTCAATTTAGTCTCTTTGACAAATTCCAATCTGGCCTGAGGAAAAATCAGAATACTGAAACCACTCCACCCTAGATTATTAGGTATATTTTATTAACAGCATCTCTTTACTTAAACAAAAATCTCAGCACTCCTCAACTCCATTCCCATCATGTCTTACAGAACCCTACAGTTTAGACATGCTGAATGGCTTCACAGCTTTCTCTTCCCATTCACTCCTGTCTTCTGACTTTTCACCAAGAACAAAAGTGAACATAGCATTTTCCTCTTAAGCCTTTAACCTTTCATAATATCATTGGAAATAATATACAGCATATAAACTCCAAATTATTCCTTTCATCTTTCATAATCTTGCTGGACATAACATACATGGTGTCTACAGCATATAAACACCAAATGGTTCCTTTCTCTCCCAAACTGCTTGACCCTTTCCCATCCTAAATGTGTGTTCAGAATTCTATGGATATTGTAGACACACTAATTTTGTTCCTTGGGTTGTCTCAATAGGCTTTACTCTAAATGTGTGTTGATTATCTTAACTTAAAAATCTTGCAAAACCTAATCCAGAAAAGTTTTTAAAATAAATAAATAAAATATTTGTATTCTTCCCCCTCCACCCTTCCCCACCCCATCCTTTTTGCAGGAAATTTAACTAATTACAGGACCACCTATTGACAAGTAAACAGAAGGCTGCACTATGAAAATAATAAAGATCACTTTTTAAAAACAATTGTTGGATAGGTTGAACTTTTGAGCATTTTTTTTTTTTGAATCTCAAATTAATCACCTTGAATTCCATTCAAAGTTAGTCGGGAAAAAATAATACTCATTTCTACATATTAGTAAATTCATATTGTACAATCCTAACAGGTCCTGCATAAATCCCATTTTGATAGTACCTCAGCTATCTAAAAATCACTGTTCCAACTGTCTGAATAGTCCTGCAGCACCAGCTGTCACAATTACTGTTAGGCAAGAATTTTTATTTTACTTTTCTTAACCATTCTATCTGGGAACTTCCAGAAACAGCACAAATGATAGTTGTCCAAAATCAACAAAACAAAACAAAACAAAACCCCACCACCAAACAAATGTTGAACAAGTCATTATATAACTGTATGCAGGGATATAATGAATTATGGACGTAAATGTTAGCTCCAATATTACACATATATATATATGAAGGTGGAATGACCCTTTTTGACTGAGTTGACCTTCACGCTTCCCACACAACCAGTGGACTGCTTCATGTCAATACTCGGCAACAGAGTGCCAGCTGAACCTGTAACTGTGTCTCAGTATCACTTGGCATTATGGCTGTAGTGACACAATCACTATCTTGGTAGTAACCCAAAAGTGACAGAATTTAAATCATTCTTAAAATTGCTACATACGAATTATTTAGAAAGTTAAGGACAAATTATTATTATTATTTTTATTTCAACTACTAACCCATAAATGTAAAAAAATACCAACAACAAAACAAAAATAGACCCCTTCATCCCCCACATTAAAGCAATAGTTTTTGAAACATTCAAAACAGTGGAAACTATTTACCGTATATTACGATCAGTGGAGAAAAGCAAATTTAATTTAAAATAATTTTTCAGACTCCCTCAGTGGATGCCAGACGACTCCAGTTTAAACAAATATTAAAAACTCATTTTAAATGGAGAATAATACAGACAGAGCTCAATTATTGAGATATTAAGGGCAACATTCAATTTTAGACACATTTAAGCATCTTTGCCTCCTGGAGATTTTTACATGACAAGGCTTTAGATAAACATGGTTTTGCAAACAGCAACCATCATATCTGATCACATAACCTCTGGACTGAAGCAGTATGTCAGCAAATATTTCTGATTACTTAAAATATTCAATAACTGTAATTTACTAGGCAGGTCTTCCTCAGAACAATCACAAAATGTATCAAGAATTAATACCCATATACAAAAAGCGTTTAGATGATCTGTTACAAAACCGTGAAGGAAAAAAAAAAAAGCCAGACACACACACACACACACACACACACACACACACACACAAAATAATAACAACAAAACCTCTCTTTGTGATAAAGCCCAGTTTAAATACATTCTGGGAGGTACCAGTAGCGGAAGAGCTGTCTTTTTATGACACTCAGCTTGGGGGGAACTGTAGCAGCCAAGAACATATAGAATAGGAATCATCTGGTTTTAAATATCTAGACATCAGATGCCTAAACTAAGCTAATCATCTGGGTTCCCTCTACAGGTAATGGAGATAAGTATTCCCAGAGGGAGATTCATTCTGCTTGTTTTAGGCATCTCTCTTTTAGATGCTTTAGATGGATAAAGTCAAGAAAGATTAACCTCACTGACAGCCTGATATTGTCTTCTCTAGTGTTGCATAATTCCTAAGTTCAATGGAATTAAGCTCATTTCTTTCCAAAACTGAGCTCATTTCTTTGTTACATCATTTAGCTTTTAATTCTTTCTCCCAACTCTTTCTTCAGTTCCTCTCATGAACACCAACTTTCTCTGGCACTTTTTTTTTGTTACATTGGATTATGTTTTTCTGGAATCTGGAGAACTAAAACCAACGTCAATGTTACTGCTCTACCAAATATAAATCATGCATGTGATCTAAACTGCAGTAATGTTCTGAATAGATAGATACAATACGGATATCGGTATTGATTGTGCTTTCTTTTCTACTCTACCACTTTCAAATGTGTAAGAAACTGTGGCAACATTAAGGCAATCAAGGTATATAGATGAATGATAAAATATATTTACTATTCAAAGAAGATGGCTTAAATCAAACAAGGAAAAATAAGGAAGAAATAAAATTAGGGCTCTCACTTTTACATGTGTGAGCCTAGGTCACCACACATGCTTTGAGGCCTCTGTGCTTCAGAACATTGAGCAGGTCCTCAAGGTGAAGCCTGGCCTCAACTCTGTTGCATTTAGGGTCTGTGGGTTCTCAGCAATACCAGCATTGCTGTATTGTACCTGGAATCGCCAAGCCCTTAGGAACAATAGCCAAAGTTTGTAAGGAAGCAGGTGTCTGAACGTAGACTCCTAAATTCATAGTTAGGTGCCTAAAGCAGCAGCAAAACTGACAAGCACCCTGTGGAGTTGCTCACAGATGCTCACCCCAGTAGTGAGGCACTTAGCATTAGTTATAACACAAAATGGATGCTTATTAATTACTAGTGTTCCAATGGCTACTGGAAGTATGTTAGCTGAGTGCTTGCATGCACTAATTTCAATGTTGGGTGTGCAGTCTACTCTGCATCTTATTTCTATAGCATTTTTGAAAATTAATTTTAATAGCTAAAAACCATCTTGAGCCACATACAGAAAATAACTCAATTTCTACTGACTGACAATCTAATATGAAATAAGAATAATCACCTTATTTTCTTACTCTGCCCAAATCCAGGCAATAAATTAGGCTTCTCAGCATGACTGTAAAGTGCTGTGAATTGTATAAACAATCATATATGGACACTGAAAAATAACCCTTATGCACATTGCATTATAGTTCCAAAAATATATTTACAGTCTATTACAAAGATTACAAATGGAAGTGTCAATGTAACGGGATTATGCTAATTAAAAGCTTTTTACAGATTTTGTTCAACAAAGGTGAGGGGACAAAAATTGGTGTAACCAAACTGTTTTTTCTAATGAAACAAATAAATAAAATGACAAATATAACTGTACAGTGATTTAAAAAGCGGTTCAAAAAAGGAGGGGGGAAAATGATGTGTTTAAGTTTTTGATAACTATCTTTGGTCCTAAATGTGGGAAAACACATTATGTATCACTGAATATATATGTTTGTTTGTGATGCTCTGCAAGTAAAATAGAAAAATATAGTGCATTTTCAATGTATTCAGAGCTCACTACACTTAAATGTGTGTACAAACCAAGACAGTATAAATAAAATTTACAAGTTTTACAAAGGAACATTTACAGGGTTTTTCTTTTGTTTTTATTTTTTTTGTGTGGATGCCCACATTATCAAACAAGTCCAATTTATGACTGATCCCTGGGATCTTTCGCTATCAAAATCAATAGAAGCAGCCCAATTCTCTTTGGAAGTACAGCATTTCACTGTTGGGGTAGTTCACAATTTTCAAATTTTTTTAAAGCATTTCTCTCTGCTTCATATACATTCCTGCAATATCTGTAAAGACATGCTTTGTTATTGCTTATGGTTAATCTAACAAAATACATATATAAGTAAATGGCATACAAAGATATTCCATTGAGCAAATACTCTTGCATCTGTGTTCCTGATGAATGACCGTTGTGTCTGTGTGAGCACACACATATTTGTTCAGAGCAGCAAAAGCCTGTAAAAAACATGAAAATTCTGAACTGCCCCTTGCTTCATGCTCTATGGTTCTAATATAAAATCTCTGTCCTTATTCTCACAGTTGGACTGAATTCAACTTAAACTAATATAAAATATATGCCAGCTATTTCTTTCAATTTGCTAATGCAGAGCATTGAAGAAAAATGTGATGTGCTCAGATTACATGGTTTAGGTAACACTGGAGAACTGCATCCATGTTCTGAGACACTCCTACAATCACTTGTCCATTCAATGTAGTGCCTCAGCAGGTTTACAGTTGTACATCTACATCTTAGAATATATTTCACTTTAACTCTAGTCCATTAAAATCATCTTGCAAACAATTTGCTAAAAGTGCCTAGAACTACTTAGGGGTCATTATTGCTTTTCTTTCTTTTTATTTTTTTATATATTTTTTTTGTCTTTTATTTTCTTTTAAAAGATAGTATATGTGTAACCTTAAAAAATTCTGTAAAAAATATCAGAGCTCTTGGCAACTTGCATTTTCCTGACTCCCTGCCAATTAGCTAGCCATGTCGATACGGTGTTGATTTAACAAAAGTAAATGGCACAAAAGGATACCAAAGTTTGGACAGATATACATTGCTTGGTCATGCTTCTTAAATATCTATGAATTCAAATAATCCTTCAGAGGTACCCAGTGTAGTAATGTGTCATAGAATTAGCACTAAAAAGGTCCAAAGATATAAACATCATACTAAAAGAAAGTCTTTATGAAGAATAAACACAAATGATTAAAAAAAGATTCAGAAATCACAGATTTAAGGAAAATATTTTGTTGAATTCAACAATATCATGATTTTATCTGACAAATATATTCTTTTTTAAATTTTTATGTACATTTAAAAAGTCTATTAGATAAAAAGGAGGTTAGAGAGCTCAAGGTGTTTGTATGTTTATTCAGGTAGTACTTTGTTTATTGTCACTGCTGTTTTCCTTGCCACCACTGGTGGATCCTAATTCCCTTTTCATAAATTCTGGTGGCACTTAGGAGTTCAAGTCTGTAGGTGCTTCTTGTAGCTCTTCTATTCACTGCAGGAAGGACCCAGGAAATCAAGTGTCTTCTAGTAGCACTTCATATATACTGAAGGCCAGTGCTGTTCTCTCAGTCTGTCACCTCCCTCATAAGGGAGAAATGTCTATCACACTTGGATGCCAGTGCCGTGTAAATGTAGCATTTGTGCTCTCATAGTCTGAATGCTGCTCATGATTTTCTTTTGATGACCAACCAACGTGATCCCTAAACTCATCACATCCCTGGGGAAGATAAATGCGTACATTGTTAATTTTTCAACTTAGATTCCTACTGTATGGTAATCAACTGTGAGTTAAAGCTACATAGTGGTCAGGGCTATACAGGAATCTCAGCTCAGTACTGTGAAGTCCATACAGACCCTCAGTGAGGACTGTAATTACATGGCATGTGTCATGTAATTACACTGCACTGTGTCTCCACATCTGAGAAGGAGTACACTGTATTATACTATGATAATCTTTTATTGTGTCTTTTAAGGATGCCCAGAGGAAGAGACGCTTCTCTTATAAAATACTTAGGGAGGCTTTTAAGATTAAGTTAGGTATAAATGAAATATTTGGGGGATTACATTCTGCTTCATAAAGAGATGCCTAAAGAAAGTCTTTGCGTATTGACCCATATCCATCATGCAAATGAAAAAGAATCATCTGTTTTGATTCCACCACTACTAGAGCTACTACCTGCCAGAAGTTTTTGGGCTCTGTTAACAGTTCCCAAGCTATTGGCTGAGACCCCCAGTGATACTAAGCAGATAAGAGTGGGGCTGCAAGCCTGAGAATATTGTTTCAAAGGGTTGTTTTGCCTTTTTTTTTTTTTTTCTTTATATATAAAAAAAACACTGCTCTGTAACAGGAATTACAAGTGTTTGGCAACTACCAAGATAAGAACTTTGTTTTCAGGGTGCCAAGAAGACCTTCTTAAGATAGCAGTGCCAATACTGGCCATGATTGCCTTCAGAAAATTCTTTTGCTTCTATAGACTTTCATCCCAATGCAAAGTCACTTCTTGCAGGGCACAGACAGACCCCAGCCAATTAGAAGAAAGCTCTACGTCTTCCTAGCACACATATAGAAAAGGTACCAATTAGGTAGTGGAAACAAAGAGGTTATTTTCCTATACATACTTACTCTGAAATGGGCTACATTCTCCCTCAAATTCTAGCCCCTTGTTATTATTGGTCTCAAAATCATGGAAAAATGTGTTGCCACACATAGGTAGTAGGGTAGGTTGCCTTTTCAAGGATGCTGTAATATAACATCATGAATTGCTAAACCTGCTGGCTTAACCCCAAGTACCATGTTTGTACTTAGGGTAAAGTTTTGGAGTTGAACATTGTGTATTAGTTCACCTAGAAGTTCCCTAAATGCAAGTTAAACATGCCCAGTACTAACTTACTCAATAGTCATCCTGGCAACTGATTCAAGAGAGTTGTAGCCTGCTGCTGTGAAATTATCCTTATATCTTTCCATCTTAATAGCTTGTAACCATTCGCCTACGGAGCAGAAAGTGGTAAAATCGGGAGTGTTCTGGTCCAGAAGAGGGCTAATTGGTCTACAGAGAAGGAAAAAGGAAAGTAAGTTGTTTCCAAAGAGAGTAAAACATCAGGGAATATTTAGCAAGGTAAGAGTTAAATAAGTTTGGGGTATTAAAAACTTCAAGAGTAGAAAGTTTTAGGCCTTTTTTTTTTTTTTTTTTTACACAGTTTAGATTACTCTGTGAATAGTTCTGACTACTCTGTAGCTCACAATACGTGTTTCCTAAGATTATTCACGTAAAAGATGATAGGTCAGAGTGAGCAATACCAGCCTAATGGACTATTTTTACCAACAGAAAATCAACCTTATTATCTAGTGTGACAGCAGCTGCAACTGAAGTTGCTGAATAAAATAAAGATACTACTCTTTAATATTCTTTAATATAATATTCTTAGAGAATATAGCAGTAGCTATTCCCATTATTGAATTGGATGAGACAAAACAAAGACATGGAAAGAGAAGAGACACAAAGTAAGTTGCTTAAGGTCACACAGCAAATCAGTCAGTAGAAGAACTGGAAGCAGAACACAGGCCAGCTGATTCCCTAGTGCATTGACCTAGCTTGTGAATCAAAAGATTACCGTGATTAAATAAATCACCTGAATTTAATGAAGAAATCATAAAAAGCTACACCATGAAATACAATGATATGCAATCACTGAAAGGAAATAAAGCCAAAATACAAATCTAAAAATCTCAAGTTTAGCAATGTCAAAGTATTTTGGCTTAACATGAGTATTATTGTTAATTATTGTTTTTACTGTATCAGTTCCTAGTAGGCAAGGGAAGCATCATATAAAAATACAATAGATGATGATCTTGCCATCAAGACAATAATTTTAAGAGACAAAGAAAACAAAGACTGCTGGTGGTGAGTGTGGAAAGAGTGACAAGTAGCTAGTAGCTACTGAGAAGTGTATTAGTTCCACAACATTTACTTTATTTATTTTGGTTATTTTTTATGAAAAGTCCCTTTTGGTTTTGTTCCGCACAGTACAAAAGAAAGGTGAATGAAGGAAGGGAAGAAGAGGGAACAGGAAGAAGGAAGAACTGAGAGAAACATGTAGTAAGAGTGAACTGGAACCAGCCACCAACCACAACATCCAGAATCCAGCCACACGCACCATCACACAAGAACTCTCTAAAGCTTTTCTTACCTGCTACACGTTCCCAGAGGGGTTTTCAAGCTGTTTGGGTTCCTAATCATTTTGTCCAGAATACCAACTATCTGCTCAAACTTTGGCCTTTCACCACGTTCTTTCTGCCAACAGTCTAGCATCAGCTGGTGTAATCCTGCTGGGCAATCCATGGGTGCTGGCAAACGATAGCCTTCTTCAATTGCTTTTATAACCTAGTAGTCAACATAGTTAGTCATTTTTCATCAACAGCTTTTTAAGTAATATATTTTGCTATCCAGTGCAAGAAAAGCAAAATAGTAATAGTAATAAACAAAATAAAATCAACTAAAATTTGCCATCAGCATTGTAAAAATATGAGTCTGTTGTTTTTATACTAGCCTTCATGTCTTCAAATAGTTTCCTGATTTTATCTTTGGGCTTACTAGGCATATTATTCTATATGTGCAGAACATAGCTCTATTACATGTACCTGGTCAAGTGAGCAGTGGGGAACAACAATTAAATTTACCGAGGGAGCAACAGATAGATTGATAAATGGAGTTATTTCATAAAGCATTATTACTTGCCCCAAGGTCTTTATGAGAAAGTGTGGTAGAAGCAACTGACTTGTAAATGGATAGGGATATATGTATGCACGTATAAAATGCAAAAACCCTGAAGATATTATAAAAGGATCCAAGAAAAATATTTAGCAGACAGAAATTGTTACGGGAAAAAAAAAAGAAAAGTTGTATTCTATGTCTAGCCATGTTACATTAATGATACAGAAGCAAAAATGTGAGTGAAGGAGAGCTGGTTGAATGGTATTTTAATATTTCACCTAAACAGAAAGTTAGATTTAATAAGAGATGCTGCTACATGATTATATGATTAAAAAAGATCACAAATATCTGAACCAAGAATTATATCCACTTGTTGATATCCTTAGCCAAGTCCATTTGGATTTAAGTGAGAAAGAAAAATGGTTAAAGTAAAATCACAGAAAACTGCTGCAAACCTTGGGGGCAGGATAAGAAATCACATCAGGAAGCAATGCAGATAAGAAAAGCTTTTGAAAAGGGGCTAAACCACTGGTCATGGGGGATTTCAAGTATACTGACATTGACTGACACAGCATATTAGAATTGCTAAGGAAGGGTGCTTGTTTCTGAAGGGTAGTGCATAGGACTGTGTTCTCCCTTGTTTTTTACAGAATACAGAAACAGCTTTTCCAGAAGCTGTTCTGGACTTAGTCCTAGGAAACAGAACTGGTATGATACATGAAGCTGAATATCCAGGTGAATATCCTGGGTTTAGTGAAAATAATAACCTCAGATGTAAAATATTTCATAGGTTATGTGAGAAAACACAAAAGCAGTGGACTGCAAAAAGCAGTAGACAGAACAGCAAAGGATACAAAGGATACAAAATGACCTTCAAAAATCTAGCTGAATTCCATGATTGTATCAAAACTTTTTTGAAGAAATGAAGTTTGTGAAAAGAAGAGGCATAACCCAGAGGCAGAGCACTTTCTGCACATTTGTGTCACAGGATGTCCTTCTGACCTCAGGGAGGTTGCCTCATCTCCCTGTGCCTCAGCTTTCTATCCATAGATTTAGAATAACAATACTGTCCTGCAGCTTAAAAATGGCTGAGAAATATTCAGTTCCTGCAGTAACATCCACACCTTGAAGAATGAGTGTGATGACCTTTTAGAGACAGTGAAGTTATCTGTCAGACAGAGTGGGAAAAGAGGATTTCAGCAGAAGGAGAACAGGAAAATTGCAAAAAAGAGTACTATATACGAAAGAAAACATTAAAAGCAAAATGTAAGATATTTTGGATCAGTATTAAAAAGAAAAACAAAATAACAGCACTGCACAATCAAAAGAGGCAGTAAAGTGGAGTAAAACAAAAATAAGCTACAGTGCATAGAAAAACTGATGTGCTTTGAAAAGTCAATCAGAAATTTCTAAGAAAAGTTTTTATACAGGATAAAAAGTTTTAAACACATTGTGCATAGCAACTACTATTTGTTAAAAGTGAAGCAGTTGTTTAAGAAGTCAGAATTCAAAAACAATCAATGAGGAATGAAAAACTAAATAAAACCATGAGCAAATAAAAACCAAATTATTTAAGAAACTTGGAAATAACAGATGATCTAGGTAAGATTTTATTCTAGTGGTGAAAATATGAATGAAATCAGGAACACAACTTTTCCATGCTTACTACGATTTGGAAAGAAATCTGAGAAAGGTAGGAAACAAGGTGACAATATTTTTAGAAGGCTTTGGAGATATGGAATCAGCTTCTTTGATACATGTTCTGAGAAAAGTGAACATGAAGAATGAAACCTGGAAATATATATGAATGAGTTATCTAGAGATGGATGGAATGGCTGGGAATATCCAAAAACTGTAAAAACATTCCAAAATATTGATAAGTACAGTTGTGTGTGAGGAGAGGTTGTTTTTAATTTTTTTACAGAACTCAGATAATTTTAAGAATAATAATATGAGTGTCTACTCCACTAAGAAAGGTGGTGGTGGTGTTCAAAGTCATCATTCAGAAACATATATATATATATATATATATATATATATATATATATATATATATGTTTTTGGAATAAGCAAAGCTACAAAGAGAACTCAGCTGGAGTTCTTACTAATAGAATTTATTTATACTATTTACAATTGCCAAAATTTGTTTCAAATTCAAGTGGTGTAGCTTTTCACACAGAATCACAGAATCACAGAATTTCTAGGTTGGAAGAGACCTCAAGATCATCGAGTCCAACCTCTGACCCAACACCGACAGTCCCCACTAAACCATATCCCTAAGTTCTGACACAAAAGAAAAAAAAAAGTAAAAAAAGAAGTAAAAAAAAAAGAGAAAAAAAAGTACTGTTGAGAATCTGGTATGCTTCTCTCATAATCTGGCTATCTAAGATTAGAAGAGCAGGTCTGTAAACTGTATATAGTGGTTGCTAACAAAGATCAGAGAAAACTTAAGTAAGAGAATCAGGATATTGTAATGTCCTTTGTGGTTATCACACTTCTGCATGTATAATAATAATAATAACAATAATAAGGTATAAATTTTAATAATAATAAAGGCAAGAGTCCAGAAATGAAATAACAAACAAACACCAACAACAAAAGCAATAAAAACATGGAAACCTAAAATCTTACTCTATTCTGGAGACCTAATCTTACTATTTTCTGAAGAACTGATCTACATGAACACTAGTAAACTAGTTTACTAGAACTGGTAAACTTTGGAAAATAGTAAAGCACAGAGCTTTGAAGGCACTCAGATTAATCTTAAAGAGACACTGCAACATAAATCTATCCTTTATGAATCTAAAACAATAATTTATAGGAAGAGGTGTGGGATTAAAGAAGTGCCATCCAAAGTTGAAAATTTAGAGATGCTTCAGATCTGATCTGGTCCATGACTACACCAACATCCACGTTTAGGCAAAATGATGGATTTAAGATTAAAAAAACTGCCTGGGTGTGTATAGAAAATTAGAAGAGACACATTTAGCATTTTCACTTCCAGTTAAATACTCACACTGATAACCATGGAGGGGAATAAATAAATAAACATATGATTTTTGCATCATGGATTTGTCTGTGCAATTGATAGTATGTGCACAGGTTTTGGGGGGTATATTTTAGGACACACTAAAAGATCACAGCATGCAAAAATATTTGAATTTATTTTACTCAGCAATTGATGCATCTTTTATCTATGTGTTATTGAAGATTATTATGTAAAATGTTAAAAATACATTAAAGTGCAAGAGATTGTAACAAGCTATTTTATGAGAAAGGTTAATTCATGTGCTTTACTTGCAGCTTTCTATTAAGAGAATACTTTTCAAAATCCATCAAGATGCATGAAGATATTGGAATTTCCCCTTTATTTAAAAGTTTTTCCTTGTTGTTCCCTGAAAGATAGGTAAAGTTTGCCTCTTATATTCCTGTCAGATTTCTTCTATATTTGAATCTAGTACAGAAAGAAGGTGTCAAAAGAAATGAAAATCTACTGGGTGCCTAGGGAATGTAAATATTTCTCTTTCTCTGCCCCAAGGACTTGTTTGCCCATATTTTGACAGTCCATGAAATCTTTGACACTGAAACCTGTCAAATATTAACAACTTTGCACTGTGTCAAACTGACTCATCATTTACACTTCTGTAATTTTTTTAAACTCTGATGTCGATCATTCAATCAAAAAATAAAATAATGATGATAATAAAAAAGAATCCCAAGCCTTCGACCTGAAGAACTTTAAATGTGTATCTTTCTGACATCTTTCTCACCTGCATGGCTTTTCCCTGTATACTTTCTATGTTAATAGACACTCTTGTCAGAAACCAAAATTAACACCCATATGTTCTATTACTGCTGACCTGTTGCTCTAGGTCATATTTTATGCAAACAAGGATATTGTTAAATCAGCATAATTAACTTTAAAGTGCCAAAGTAGGTCATTAACTGCCACTCAGATTTTTAACAACTTTTTTCAACTGATTAATCATTGCTCTGAGGTCAGAAACCTCACAATTAATTTTTCATTTGAAAAAATTAGTTCCTTCTAATAGTATATATTCTAATAATATAATAAAGTGAAGAGCCTATATTACTATTTTGGACATTCCAATTTTACTTTATACTTGGGACAGAAACCTACAACAACCATGTGGAAGAATAAGGATTTAGAGATGTAGGTAAAAAGTGCAAGCTTTGTAACTTTTCCTATTTTTGAGAACCTTACCACATTTTGGAATATCTTATTCCTAAAACAAAATTACATTCATATGTAGTGAAATATGTGTATACATTTAAAGTATGTAATATTTGTTTTTCTAATACATGTGTGCTCACAGACAAAGGATAACCTACATCTTGATTTGACATGTCCCAGTAAGGCCGTTCTCCATAAGACATTACTTCCCACATAACTATTCCATAACTCCATACATCACTGGCTGATGTAAATTTGCGGTACTGGATTGCCTCTGGAGCTGTCCATCTCACTGGAATTTTTCCACCCTATGGAAGAAAAAGATATATCTTTTTTCTACCTCAGAATTTCCTCATCATCTTCCTTAGAGTGCATTTATAATTATTTCTATAAAAATCAAAATTTACATCAGCTATTGTAGTTTACCAATTTCAGCTTTTTCAAAAGTAAGCTTAAACTTAAGCTCTTAAGCACCAGGACTGTAGAAAGTAAGGCAACTGAGCTAAGTTGGATGCATTTCTCTGCAGGTGTTTCTATCTTCATTGATTTTAAGGGGCTGCTTAGCTGTCTGATTTAGGCTTGACATTTAAGGTGTGTCAAGCTAGGTGAGAGAAATCTCATCCTGTGCATATAAATTCCATTGAATTGTCATATGACTCCTCTGAAATCTCCGTCTAGCACTTTAAAATTGGAATCCCACTTAGATCCAAGTGGCAGGAGTGACACCCATGAATGTGGAATGCCTGTGTGCTTTCCAGATCCCTGTGCCTGTTGGAGCAGATTCCAGGGGCCCCTCCTTCCCTCAGCATGAGAAAATAGGTACAGTGAGGCCCCACGGGTGGGAAAAGAGAGCTGGCTTAACAAAAGAATAAAGAGCATAGTGTGCCCAATGAATGGTTATTTAAGAAAAGCATCCCACCCAAAAGCAAGGGAAAACACAGGAGCTGAGCTTTGTCACAGTCTAGCCTCAAGCTAGTCAACTTTTTGGTGAGATAAAATCTAGTCTGAAAAATAATAATACCCTACAAATATTTTAATTGGCTCATACTAGGTGAGATGACTAACCTTTATTATGATTAAAACTTCTGTATTTGTTCAAAAAGAGAATCGTGAGGAAGGGAATAAAGATACTGTACAAAATATCTAGAACTTTACCAGTTAAAAATGCATGCTGTTACAAAAATATCATACTCTACTTAGAGCCAGATTTCTGCAGAAACTGTTTCCCTTTTCACTGGTTACCATTTCTCAAGCAATGAATGTATTTCTTTTTTCTCTGCTTGCCAGAAGATATGCTTCTTCTTAATAACCACGTTTCAAAATGACTAAAAAATATCAATTTCTCTTACAGTAGTAGTGTAGACAGCCTCTGGATCATCTTCTACAACTCTGGAAAGACCAAAGTCTGACACTTTACAAACAAGGTTGCTGTTGACAAGAATATTGCGTGCTGCAAGATCCCTGTGTACATATCCCATATCAGCCAAATATCTCATTCCAGCAGCAATTCCTCTCAGCATTCCCACCAGCTGAATGACTGTAAATTGCCCGTCATGTTTCTAAAGGGGAGAAAGGAGCAGCAATTCTTGTTAGTATAGCTGAGAAAAGAAATAAGAATTAGTTTTACAACTTCAGGTTTCTACTTATTTACAATTTGTGTGGCAATTCATCCTAGGGCAAAGAAACACACTTCAAGAGCAAGTTTTATTTGTTTCAGAGACAAAGCAGTACATCCAGTTAAGAAATGCATGTTACTTCTAATGTACTAGAAGTAACAAAGCTTGCTAATCCCCATAAAATTCTGACTAACTCATGGGAAGTCTTTTTCAAGAGAGCTTTCCTGATGAACCAACTCTTTATTATTTGCCTCTATGCTCTTCCTCTCTCAGAATAATTGTATTTGTCAAGATAATAAGAACTGTCTCCTTTTTCAACCCAAGCTACCAGGAACTTTATTCATAGCTTGCAGTTTCTCTCTCTCTCTTTCCCATCTCTATAGAGTGTTATACATCATTTCATACTGTACACCAGGCAAAGCATAAGAACTGTCCAGTTCAGAGTACACACACAACACTAAATACTTATGAACTTATTTTTATTTTTGCTTTGTTCTTCTCTTAAATGTGACAATAGTTCATTTAGGGATTCTTGTGTTTTGACTTCTACCATGCTCAAAAAATAAATGCTGCTCCAGAGAGGCAGAAGACTGGGCTTCAATATCAGCCACCTCCATGCAGCTGGTGGCAGTAATAAGAGCCACCTTAAATGCCACTTAAAATTGCCACTTACATTCCTAGAATGTTTCCATATGATCCTGTCTGATCTTCTGATTTCTGAGCTGATTTTGCTGAGAATTGCTAGTATTTGACAAGTTCCATTTCAGCCTGAAAAGGACTTTTATTTTAATATCATCTGTCTGCATATAAATATATATAAATGCACATATAAAACAATGTATTTTTAAACATTATATATAAAACTATACATAGATGTGTAACTTAAAATATGCTTATGTATGTTATGTTTTCATTTTGTTACTCACCCTAAGAAATGCATCTAAGGCCCCATTTTCCATGTATTCTATTACAATCATGACTGGTTTCCCTAAAAGACATGAAGACACATTTCTTTGAGGAACTGTAAAACAATGGAGTGCCTTTTTTTTGATAAAACACATGTTATTCCTTTGAAGGTCTGAATTGTTGAGACATGAGAATTTCTGAAGCCTCCAGCACCATTACCGAGCTCTAATAAGTTCTTAAATGTCTTCATGGAACGTGGTCATGATCCACAAAATTAAACCGTACAAATCAAAATGTCAGTGTGTTCTCCTGACTCCTGCTGTGTGAACAGGACTCTGGAATAATGACACTTCAGATAATATTAAAGGACATAAGAAACCTTATCTCTCTGCATGGTCTTTGAGGCTAAATGAAACTAGAAAAATAATATATTTCAAAGTACTTTATCTTTTAATTATGCATGCATCTTAATTTTTTCCTCAGGTTGTAGCTTAAAGTAGATATTGTTTCAGTTAGTTACACATCAGTATAAAATCCATTAGGAGTGTACAGTCTGTTTATAATTTGAATCTTTGACCATGAATAAACAAAAGTAATTTCTGATATTAGGTTGTTATCTGACTTGTTATCAAGCCACTGCTTACCTCTGGTAACGACCCCTTCTAAGTGAACAACATTGGGGTGATCAAATTGTCCCATGATGCTTGCTTCACACAGGAAATCTCTCCTCTGCTTTTCAGTGTAGCCAACCTTCAGAGTTTTTATGGCTACTGCAACATCTCTCTTGCCAGGAAGCTTTAGACGCCCACTGCACACTTCACCAAACTCTCCTAAAATGAAATAGATCAACACTGAATTACTCTGGCTGTAATATCAATGCTCTGTTTTGAACTAGCTGCCTTGATTGAACTAGCTGCCTATGTATGTATTTAAATTGAATACATGAATATACATATTTGAAATGGATTACTTAAGAACACAAAGACAGGAATGTGCTCTACATGAATTTCTGAATGAGTACCCTATGGAGCAAACAAATGAAGTTAAACTAATCTACAGGACTATTATCTGAATCTTTGTAAAAGACTTGTTAGTAATTTGCTGCATTTTTTTTTTTTTCAAAAACAGGAAATAAAAATGGTTTTCATAAGAAAATACTGTTACTGAAATACTAATACTATTTCTAAGTGAAAATGTCATTCTGTTTCAAATGGTTTCCTTGCTATCTTTATATCCAATGTGTTTCTTTTTCTTTGTTTCTTTCAAAAGGCACCTCTTTCAAAGCTGCTTTTAATTTAACAATTTTGTAGTGTTAAAAAGCACTTCATTATTACATTCAAGAAGGATAATTTACTTTGCAGATTAGGAAAGGGAAGGTGTGATTTATAATAATTTTGTTCCATTAAACAAACACAAGCAAATGTTGGAATTCTGTAAAAAGTTTCTAAATTATTAGATAATTGGAACATGAAGAATCATGTGAATAAAATGGCCAAACAGCCAGTAAGAATACCAATAAATAAATAAATAAACAAATAAATAAATAAATAAATAAGGCCTCCTACAATTTGGGATAGAAGTAATTGGACTGCATTGGACAAGAAAGAGCATTGAAATATATGAGATGTGGAGCTGAATGGCAATACATTTATCACACTATTTTTGAGATTGTGGAAGACTGAAGGGACTGCCCCTTGTGTCACAGTAGTTTCAGCAAGGAGAAAAAGAGAACCCCCATTCTGTAGCCAGAAAAAAAAAGGTTTCTTGGGACATGTAGGAGATGTAGGTGGTAATATATTTTATGCTGAATAGAGGGGAACATCTCTTTAAAAAAAATAGACTTTGCAGAATATTTAATAGTCTGGTACATTGCAAATTTACCTGGAATATGGTAGAGAGAGAGAGCCAAGTCCCTCCTCCAAATCCAATCAAGTCTAAAATTTATCTCCTGCATACCCACAGAATGTCTTTAAATTATTGAGTACACACAAGTATGCAGACACACCTACATCTAAGACATGTTTTAGGATGAATGCTGAAAAAAAATATGATTGAATTAGGAAACAGCAGTGTAGACTGTTTGATTATAGAATCCCTTTGAGATGTAGGCTGAGGTCTTAAGAAAGCTGGTGGGATTAGGATTTAAGTGCAGATACACACTGGTAAGGCAGCAGAGAGGGGTGCCTTGGAATTACCTAAGGAGGTAGGTGGATTTCGAATTGTCATAATTTATGAATTTTGAGAAATCTTGTTTAAAACACTGTCCCTCCAGCCCAGAAGGGTAGAACTTTGGGTGGACCACAGTATTTCCTAAGCTTTGGGCAAATCTTCACTCAGCACAGCCAGTTTTACAAATCTCACAGGAGATTACTCTCTATGTAATTGAATTCCTCTCACTCAGTTCGACAGAATTTAAGTTCAGGTTAGCTTCAATCAACTCCACATACCTCTGTTAACAGTATTGTACTAATCAGACAGACAGAGGGCATTATTCCTGTCTGAACATTACCCCCAGCTATCCTTGAGCACTGACATTATGGTATGAAAATCTACGTCATAGTCGTGAATATCATGAGAGACATAGGTAATGATCAGCTGTTGGACTGCTCATGTCTTTAGCTTGGTGCCTTAACCTCCATCCTGCACTTCATGAGCGATACGGATGACTACTAATGAATGCGCCACTCACCTTAATCACAGCCCCTAGCCACAACAACAGCTGACTGAAGTAGAACAATTAGTATAACAATTTTCTCTCGCTATACCTTCCAGATCTTTTTTTTTTTTTTTTTTTTCCCACACACTGAGAACAAGATGTGAGTATATGTATGTATTTGTATGTAATATTTCAGAGCCAGGTAATTAGGGTACTTGGCACAGAAGACACTAAGCCTTAACTCCTTTCCAGCTCTCTGGGATATGATTTTGATTGATATCCAAAAGCAGATCACTCATACTCAGGCAAACCAGAAACTTGAATGTGTATATCATTCATTTCAGGCCAGGATAATAGCCAAAGGACTACTTTTATTCCCAACAAAGTATATTTAGCTGAAATGGTGCCCAAAAAGGAACCAGAAAAGATGACAACAAGAGTGGGAACATCGCACAGCCAACAGCCATGAGCTCAGCATGTCAACAATGAAGAGACTAAAACAAAGGATCTGTGGTATGAACAAGGACTCAACATAGTGGATACAATAATCTGTATCTGACAGGTGGCCACAGCAGGGTGGTAATGAAAATCTTGGCAAGGAAAGCACATATCCCTCATGCAAATTGAGCTCAAGCATACTTGCACCCTATTTGTCTGTGAGAGACATGGCACTACTGAATAGCTGATGTGGCCAGCATTACTAGTGCACATTGAGACTGCTAAGTGGCTTTTCTGGTGCTGTCACCAGTAGAAATTCTGTATTCTTCTTTGATGTATGAGTTTCAGCTGCTTCTTTTAGTCTTTAACATTCTGTTGAACTTGGACTGTATTTCATTTCACTCTTGCCTCTGTCTACATCAACAAGTTAAAAAGACGACTAAAATATTCTTTATCATAGTACTTCTAAGTAACTTTCTTAAGGAATGACTACTGACACAAGTTAGATTTTTGCTATCAGTTATACTCATTAAAATCAAGAATAAATTAATCTATAGCCAACCAAATTATTACTATTTCCTCTGCCATAACATTGAAAATACTTGTGCCTTAAATTGCATCCTCTTTGCAACCAAGGCATTTTCAGCATTTTGCCCAGAAGGCATCAGCAAAGTCCAACTGAATACATCTTCATGCTCTGAACTGTTGCTATGCTGGTAGTTTTTTAATTCAAAACAAAAGATAAAACTCAATAATTTTTCTATGCTAATCTAGATTTTAAATCTTGTATATTTATTAGAAGAGGTGCTGCCATTCTAGCATTACAAAATTACTAGTTAGCAGGGGCTGGATTCTTATGCTCTTACTCATCTGAAACAATAATTTTCTCAAGCAATGTTGTTAATTACAATAGTGCTACTCCTTGATTAAGACATGATTCAACATGAGTGAGGTTACTTTAAAAAGTCATTGTGAATTCTCAGTGTAAAGATTTTTTACAGTTAAAACAGCTTATTTTAGAGATCTTTCTTCTTCTCTTTCAAAATAATACAATGTAATTTACAGTGCATGCCAAACTACAGGGTGATTTAAAAGTATTTTAGTAATACTTTTATAAAACAACGGGAAAGCAAAAGAACATTTCCTCCAGGAATCCAAAGTATTTGATATTTTTCTTACCCACAGAAACTTAATTTCACTACATGGAGTAGTGCAATAAAAATGTCACATATCTTATTAATGCAAACAAATGAAACTGCCTTTTTAGAGCATGAACACCACAGCTTAAGTAGGTGGTAGACAGTTCAAGAGGAAGAAAAGCAATGTTATGCTGGTGCAATTACAATCAGTCATGAGGAGTTAAACAATAACTTTTTGTATTCATAAAATATCAAAAAGGAAAATGGCAGAAGAAAAAACAGCTTTAGGAAAAATTTTGTTATACAGAAACAAGACCTTCCCAGTCTATATGTAAGATTTTGAGCTAGACACTTTTCCTTATTCACAAGAAAAAAAATCAGAGAACAAAAAACCTTCTTGCAAAAGGAAAGTGAGCAGAATTTGCACTTGTGCCTAGCCCTTTTACTCTGACGGTAAAGAATAGGAAGCAAAATTACTTCCCCCACAAGAAAAAAAAAAAAAAAAAAGAATTTTTAACAGTAGATATATAAATTAGAAACCTGCAACTTTCCAATGACAAACAAAATTCTTCATTTACTTCTTGTAAGTATGTGTGTGTCTGAGTCTGTGTGTGTGTGTTTTTCCTGTTTATTTTTACATTTTAGAAGTGAGTGCAATTTCATTGCTCTTAACCACTCTGGTGAATGCAAAAAGTTCTTCTATAGTCGAGGTATAATTATTTGCCTGTCATTATGATGTATGAGTTTCGATCCTGGCTAAATGGAACAGTTGAATAAGGAAGCCACGGCCGCCTTACCTGCACCAATCACACGCTCAATTTTAATACAAGAGGCATCTAGCTCCTTGGCGAATTGATGGACAGCTCTATTTGGGTCCTCGTAGGTTTCAGGGTCAATGTAGGTTTTGGTGCCTGGAAATTTAACTGTAATGATGTAAGAAAGCATGACTGTGATGAAGCAAAGGCACTTATTGTGCAGTCAGTCCAGGAATTTCATTATGCAGAGCGCTCCTTGGAAGAGTGAACCTGCTTCCAACACCACCTGAGTCAGAGTCGCTCTGAGAGGCAACTTTAGTTTTATGTGTCATCTGCAAGCATGCTGACACAAGTACACAATCCCGTCTCTAAAAAATGACTAACATTAACATTTGCACCTATTCCTTTAAGTTAAAGAAGTAATATATATTAAATAATGTTCAATGGAATAAAATGCAAGGGCCGGGTGGGAGAAAAAGTAAAGTGAGATGGGGGGAGGCTATAAAGGAGGTAAAACTTTCTTTTCTGTATAAGAACAGCTTATTCTCCTTTCCCAGGCTGAGTAAAAAGCATTTCTTTACATTTTCCCTGTCTTCTAGAGGGATTTAAAAGGATCTGCTACCTACTTTAATTTGTTTAAACTATTGAATATATTTCTAGACTGTGGCAATAGCCAAGCTAAAGTTTTCACCGTGTTTAGAATTTATATTGTTAGGTATATGTCTTACACTACAATACAAACATGAAAAACACTTGTAGTCAGCAAGCAAAGGCACAGGAAAAAAAAAAGATGCCATGGAACAATTATTTCCTTTCTCAAGCACCTAAGTGAATAAAATGCAGCACCTTGGGTTTTGTTCGCTCATTTTCCAGTATAGCTCTTTGTGTAACTCAGGCAGCAAAGCATTCTGGCCAGCATGTATTTTTTTTTTCCCCTTAGTTTGCTGCTGATTCAGGAAAATTATTTTCTCTTCTTTCAAAAGCAGAAATTTATGATGGAAGTAGAGGAATCCTGAAAATCTATTAACCAAACAATTTTTATGAAATTAATTTAGCTCTCAAGGATTACAGACCTGAGTTTTAATTAAGTCAGTCAATTAAAACCCAGTATCAAAAAGCAATAATGTTTCTGTGCTATTTGATGCACTGATATACATGAATTGGATCAGAAGTCAATACAAAACACAGTTTATGGTTGCTTTGTAATCTCTTAATTAAACTTTTAAACTTGAAAATGTATTAAAAAATGGCTTAGTAGTCATTTGTTTTTACGTTTCAGATTGCATTACTGACAAAAAACAAACAAACAAACAAAAAAACTTATAAGAAGGAAAAGGTTAGAGAAATTGTTAGAAAAATCTAATGAATTTACACATAAAAATTATTCAAGACTTCACCCAAATGTTACTGCTTCTTCCAATTGTATTGATATATTTTTCAAATTATAAATGTTTATTCGTTAAGTTTTTGTTAAATGAACAGTTAAATATTTATTAATTAAACATTCATACAAATGTTTATTCATTTGTTCAAAAAAGACCAAAGGGGAAGAAACCAGTAGGCTACCCTCCTATAATAGTGCTTTCAGGCAGTAAGGTGGAGAATGAGCCATCCTTGTTGTGTTTGTGATAAGAGGCCTGGATTGGAGGTAACCTTGCAAATCTCAAATCGGCCTCTGATGGTTTTTTATTCAAGCTGTCATAAAACGTTTTGACAGGCCATGGCTATCTCGGCATACCAATGTGAAATAGTGCTGGCATAGATTTGAAGACATTGTTAGAAGAAAATGGTAGGAGGATTTAAAATGTAAATCTGAACTGCTTGAGTAAACCCCTCCATTGTTTTTGTATCTTTAAATATAGCACTTGGGGTCACAGAGAGCTGAGAGGTATAAAAATGAAAGAGACGATATTATACTAAATGCAGTGCTTTAAAAGCTGCTTTAAAAATAGTTACTTGTAAATTTTGGTGCTAAGTGTTTGTGGTAAGTTAAGTTTTTGAAAATCCAATCTAGTATCTCTACAGGTAAGAAGGTTGCTTAGAGGTCCTGGAGCAGAAAGACACCACGCTGTTTTTCATGTCTCTGTGACCAAGCTGGTGACGACAGCTCTGTATTCCATCTTATTCTGTCTATGGTTATCAAACAAAATTAAATACTAAGCCTTCAATCAACAGATGATGAAAAACTAGCCTGGGAAAAAGTGATTTACACTTTTAAAAGTGCTACAATTTTAAAAAGACTGTGTATGCTAACTGTCCTGATTGACTTTCTGGATAACCAGATTTCTTGAAAGTAAAATGAGAGAAACCATTGAGTGAACCATTTTTCATTATTTCTGGATCAACTATTAAATGTTAAGTAGCAGCTTTCATATTAATTTGTTTACACTTTCACAAAAAAAAAAAAAAAAAAAAAATCACAGATAATGGAGATGAGGAAAGACATTATTTAGCTAGCATATTCCCTTTGTTTATCTACTCAAATACAAGAATATATAGTCGATATTTTCCTTCAAGGACATAATGGAGACTTAGAAAGTGAAAGCAGTAGCTCTTCTGAGGATGTGAAAAGCTTATAATGTATCTGTGAGAGGCAAATTTCTAAACCATCACTCCCAGAATAGAAACATTTAAGTTAGATCAGATTTTCAATGATTTCTTTAAAATCAGCTGCACTGCAAAGTGCATGATGAGTAATTCTCGTCCCATTATTATTTTCCACCCTTCTCGTACAGATTATAAACTGATTGACAAAAGCTGCAATGATGTCACTACTTGGTTTAATAATCACTGCATTTAAATTAAAAAATTTAGGTAGGATCAAATCCAAATTAATGGAGCATGAACAAATTCCAGCTGATCTGATTTTGCTAGGGCAGAAAGGTGAAACAGAAACCTTGATCTGATTTCTACTGGACTTTTGGGCTAGAGCTACTTCTTTAAAGAGTCACACACTGAGAAGATGCTAAAATTTGTGACTATTGGCTACTTAATTCTCCATATGATTCTTCATTCTCCATATTCTGATAATAGCTCCTGATTTTAACAAATCAAAAATAAGATAAACTATATTGATTTCATACAAAGAAAAAATATCTAATGGATTTAAACTACCACTGCAATTATTGGTGAACAACAAAGGCTGCATACAGCATAGCATGACTACATGGCACCTTTTACCAATATGTGAGTTACCAGATATGGGAAAAAAATGGAAATCCAAGCTTCTTATTTTTTATTTTATTTTATTTTATTTTATTTTATTTTATTTTATTTTATTTTATTTTATTTTATTTTATTTTATTTTATTTTTTTATTATCAGAAGTTGTAGTAAGTTTAGTTCTATTATGTGATTTTTCAATTTTGGATGAACAGAATCATTTTGCAACTTAGTTTCATCATATTTCCTGAGTTAATGACTGATTTAGACCAATTTCAAACATTGTTAATCTCTCATGTCGAAATGATAATACAACTAAAATAAGAAAGGGCTAAAAAAAAAGTTTTTAAAATAACTTTCAGATACAACTGAAACAATTCTTTCTCTTTTATTGCATAAGCTGTCCTCTCTTCTTAAATTTTCTCTTGTTACTAAGCAAAGAAAGACATTTTATTGAATTTTTCCAGGGTTCTAAAAATTCAAGTGGTACCTAGGATTTTACAAAGAGAGTTTTTGGGTGCTATTTTTCACTAGGCAAGTGATTCTAGAACAGAGAAAACCTGTGAAATAGCTGATCTTTCTTTTCATATTAAATATTTTAAGGATTTATTTATTTATTTATAATATTGATGCTATTGTACTCTCAGTAGCAGAAAACAGCTTTTGAGCAGACCAACTTCATTGCTAGGGTGATACAGTGACTGTTGCTTTCTTAATCTGAAGTTCGCCTGGGGTAACGATCATACAGCCACTTAGCCAAAGACCTCTCAAATACTTCATCTCAGAGGAATCATTAGGATGGCGTGAAACATGTATTCAAAGGAAACAATTAAAAAAAAAAAAAAAAGTGGAATGAAAACAATGGTATATCGTATACATGTATAGAAATAAAATTGTGACAATGTTGACTTTAATCTGCATTCTTTTTGTGTAGGTAACATTTTTACAATGTTTAACTTCCCACTTGCTACTTACACAGAATTTTTAAATTTCATTCAACTTTGTATTTCATGGTGTGTTATTTTAGTATTGTCTACAGTACTGCAGTTCAGGATTTTTGAAAAGGGGAAAAAAGCAAAACACTTACAATGAAAGTAAAGCTCTTCATCCCCCTCTTGATCAGCTTTGCTATAGCCGCAATGCCTAAAAAGAAATACGTCAGTTTTACTGGTAAATAATGGTTTACTTCCTCACATATAAAGTCCTAACAACATTGGTCTTTCAGGCTGGGATTTTCAGCCTATGAGCACCTAGCTCCTGTAGGCCCTTTGAAAGTTTGAGCTATAATTCTCTTGACAGCAGAGGTTTAAATAAATCATGAGCAGTTGTAATCAAAAGGCTTTTGTATCAAATACGAGTTGGGACAGGTCCTAAAGATCCTTGTTCCTGTGAAAAGCTTCTATGGATATAGCAGGGGATTAAAGAACTTGAAAGTAGAACACTATTTAACATGACGGTATTCTTAAACATACTGCTGTGTCTCTTTTTCTTGAATTTAAAGTCATTTAAAGGCTGATCAGATAAAGTGTCATGCTTCTCCACGTGAGAGAAACTAAACAGAAAGAGGAACTTTGAGGAGTACAGGTGAAGAGCTTGCTAAGGGTTCCTTTTACAGCATATTTACATACGACTGAAAGAACATCTTGATTTAAGTGTGTCTTGCTAAAGTAAGCAGAAAAACTGTATAATTGATAATTGGATTTGAATTTGGAATGAAAATTGTCCTTAAAAAACAGGAGTTCCGTATAAGTTTTGCAAATTTCCATTCCAGATTAGAATATGCCTTAAGAACTCACAAAAGTGGGGTCAGATGTGCTTATGTAAGGCAGAATACCTTCGCCCAATGATGAATCCAAACACCATGAAGACCAGAATGATGGTTCCTGCTACAGCAACCACAGCTATGATAATAACAGGATTCTGTTCACTGGAAACAGCCGTGGCTGTAAATAGAGAAAAAAGCAGAGATTAGCTTAATATTATTCCCAACAAAGGAGCTGCAAAAAAAATTAAATCAACCTTCACGAATTGCAGACTGTTTATTTTTTCAGTTGCCTACAATTATTAATTTGATGAATTTAATCTAAAGGAATGCCCCTATCAGAAATTCACTCAAATGCCGGATGAGTTAATGATCACATACAGGGAATAAAAAAGGCCAAAATTAACTTGGTCAAAGTCATACAACCATGTGCTGAAAGCCAGCACCAGCCAATTTAACTGCCTTCTGGTGTAGTGTCTTCTGCTTTGTTCAGTGGTTGACCCCTTCCTAAAAGGGAGGAGGACATCTCTTTAAAGAGGTACAGTAGGAGAATGTTCCTGCTCCTAGCCACACTGCTAAAAATGGTTGGTATGACTTTAATGGTAGTATGAAATAGTATCTTAAGTGTAAGATGAATTTTTAAGATGAAGCATTAACTATCTATTAACTCAGACTTCTTAGCATATTTATCTCTCTTACTGCTATTAATCATTGTAAATTGATATTATCACTTAAAATTTGTTTCTGTTAGCAATGAAAAGGTGCTTCCACATACACAAAATGGAATTCTCTATGCTTCAGAGGATTTACATGCCAAAATATCTACACGCTATCATTCTTTTTATTCATTTATGCCAATTTTATTAATATATGCAAATGTCTGCATGTCACATTAATTTAAACTGAGGATGTAAATACTTAGCCTGAGAACCCTCAAAGTTTGTTAAATACATTGCTTGCCACTCAGCTAATGAAGGTGGTCATATGCTCAGCTGTATTAAATGAGCACAACTCTACTGAACTCTGCAGAGCTATAGTGATTTGTAACAAGGATCTGGCCCAAGAGACTGAGAATAAAGGAAGAAACATCAGGCAGTGATGCTGAGAAAGGGACTGTGGAAGTATGAGTCACAAAAAAAAAAAAAAAGATACTGACATCTGATTAACTAAACTGTAGATGATACGTTAATATGGTTAACTGGTTAAGTCCTGGCCGTGCTACCTAAAGATGAAGATTTTATGAATTCCACAGAATCTTCTGGGTGCAGATTTCATAGGTTCCCATAGAAACAAACCATCCAATCTTTTCTTTGCTGTGTCTTGGCAGAAGTAAACCAATCAACATGATTTATTTTGTCACTGAACTGTATTACTTACCCCCCCACCCCCAAATAAAAACCCCTTTGTTGTGCTTCACAGCATAACACAGCACCTCTGTATTGAGGTGAAATTCTTGCAGCCCCCATCCCCCAATTTTATTTCCTAAAGAAACTATAATTTTTATATATTCTACCTAATGCAGGTGAGGAAGGTCTCATTATTCTTATTGGGCTTTAACTGAAAAGAACAAATGTGTTTTTTTTGACTAACTACAACTTTCTGAGATACCCAGTCAATGGGGTATTGCTATAGGCCTTCACATATCCCATTTGTGCAACCTTTAGGAAATTAGTGGTCACTGTCTTGTTTCGTAAGGGCATAAGTAATGGGGTATAAGTGGAAGGGGCATAAGTAATACAACTCAGTTCTTGAAAAACTACCTGCCCATCAAACTAGATGGCCTCAAACATGAGAATGTTGAAGGTATGTAAAATTTCCTAAAATATTTCTATTCCTTAGAACTTAAGTGCAAACCTCACCTGGGAGTCAAGACAAGGTGGCATTTTGTCCCAATGGCCAGTGTACAAAGCTTTATCCATCTAACAGAGTTTGGAAAAACACTTTTCCAAGCTTGCCACCTAATCTAGCAGCCACGTTGAGTGCATAGAGGTTGACATATGTGATTGGGTTGCTCTGCATGACTGCCTCACAGATTTTGGACACTGGTACAGTCTGGAGGCAATCCAAGGATGTTATTTGAGCTCTTGAAATGCTGGGGGCACAGTACACTGCCCAACTGGTAAAATAGGTGGGATGAAATTCATGATGTAATTTTACATCTTAAAAATAAATAAATAAATAAATAAATAAAAGGTCTGGTTATGGGATTGGTCTGGTGAGAATCCTATGTTCTTGTACTGTCTCTGTGCTGCTTCTCCCATCTGTGTGATGAAATCAGGCTGTTACTTGGCTTATGTGTAATTACGAACTTCTGGAACGTGATCTAACCGAAATAAGGATGCAAGAGTATCCTGAGAGGAAAGATTTTGGGGTGCAGATGATCCTTTCAGGGAGTCTATGACATGGTTGCCAGTCATTCGTGTTGCCACAGTAGTAGTGGTAGGGAAACATCAGCAGGACAGAGAAGTCTGCCCTTATTTCCAGTTAAGCCATGCTCAGGCTCCGAAGGCAGTACAGGGACCAGCTACAGGTGACACCTAATCTGACATTATGATATCTTCTTATCTAAAGGAATGAGAGAGTGTTTAGGTTATAGGAGTCAAGGTTACCTTCTATGTACAGGGCTGGAGGGATGGGGAATACCCAAAAACCCTGGAGCATTTAAAAGAGGAGATTAGCTATAAAAGCTGTGCAGCTCCGCCAGCAACAATTTTTCATGCAGGCAATCTCAGCTACAGAGAAGAATTCCTGATGAAGTGTACATGAAAGCTTCAACAATATATTGGAATCATGCGGGCCAAATGTCACATTTTTAAATATTATTCTTATAATATTTATTCTTATTATTCTTATAATATTATGTCTTCTATTAAATTTTGCAGCAGTTGTTTATTTCAGACATCATAAATATATTTTACATCTGCATGCTACTTCAACATTGCTTGATTTAAAGCTATTCATGGCAAAAGCAAAAGGCAAAATTTTATTCCTGCCAGGTTGCACTGAGTCCTTCTACTTTGCCAGTAAGACATGTAACAAGTGGCAAACTCCCCATCAGAGATTTTAGGCAGTACAAAGGTGAAGGGAATGTTGCAGTATTGTAAATAAGATGGCCTATTTTGAAAGATAACACAACCAACTTGTCTTGCTGTGACTGAGAACATCCAGGAGGGCTTTCTGGCTTTCAGGAAAACAGATGAGAGCACCGCTGAAATCTGTGTGTCCCCTGAGAGGTTGCATTAGGGAAGTTTTAACTCTGGTTTGTATACCTCTAGTCCTCATTGAAAAACAAAAAGTTTTCACAAGCAATTGCACAATTTTCTAATAATTCTTATTAGAAAATGCCACCAACATTTTTAAACTGAATGTTTTCATTTATTCTTCTGGTTTGTTCTGCTTGATATCTAGAATACGTCTCCCATACTTTTGGAATTACAGAAAACACAGCAGCCTCTTTAGATTCACTGGCTACAAATAATTCAAGGTATCTTTTAGATAATTCAGTGGATCAAAAAAGGTAAAATTACCACTTAAATGATACTCTTTTAATTTATATTTTCTTCCAGGAGGATTTCTGTCTCTGATAAATGATGTTTCCAACAACAAAATTCAGTTACTTTGATCTGTGACAAACACAGCATGGAATATAAATATCCTACCTTCATAAAGCATTTTTGCTTTGTAATTTTACTATTTTTATGTAAATGTATGTATGTTGTCCAACACATACAATATGTGTGAGTACAGGTATTAAATATGTATATTTTACATATCAGATTACATAATGGACATATACATAATTTGAGTTCCTCAAATATGGGAAAGTGGCCATGCAGTTTTGATCACAATACAGAAACTGGAACATAATATAAAAATCTACTAAATCAACAGCACCAGTTGAAATTCCAGGTGAATTTCAGGTAGGCAAAAGGACTATCTAACTGCTGGTTGAGCATTACAACTATATCTAATTTTAAAATACTTTGATAGTTTTGAAAGTCACATTCAGAAATCCACTGGAATAATGCCAATGACTCTTAACTGTAGCAGGTTTTCTGCTCACCTGTATACTTCATCTGAGGTATATTTCCTAAAAATGATCTACTAAATTTCTTATGAAATGCTAACGCAAATACAATTTTATTGACCTGAATGATTTGATAGTACTACAAATAAAATATGAGACGCAAATATTCTTTTTTTTTTTTTTGGTAAGAGAATTTTAAAATAATTTAATTAAATTTACTATCTTTTAACAAACATTTTAATTATTTCTGAAAACTATATGTGGAAAATTGGGGTTGTTTATCATTGATAGGAATTACATCCTACAATTTCCTCTCAATAAAATTGAAAATATGTTGCTTTTGAAATTTTCTTTTGTGAATGCACTGCACATGGAATGTTAGAACACAAAGCTAGCCTGCGACAAAATATCTGCTGTGCATACTGGATCAGAATGTCACTGGTTTATATGTAGATTTTCATCACCGAGTCAGAAAAAGGGTACACGATGCAAAAGGGCCAGTAATTCATTTATTCTAAGATTTCCTAACTTTCCACAAATTAATCAAACTCCAGTCAAGACTGTTTACCTCAGAAATGGTCTTTGCTCATCTTAGTGGCTTAGTATGCTTACATGCAGTATATAAAAAAATATTAGTGTAATGAATGAAATGTTTGGAAAACATTCTGGTCTAACAATTTTAGATTACTATGGACAATAAGTTAGATAATTAGCAGGAACATGTTACAGATTGTTAAAGCCTTTTCATTTGTTTTCCAGAAATTCATCCAAAATACGAAATTACTTCTGTCTGTAACTCAGGATGCTGATGCATCTCAGGGATTCTGTTGAATTTTACTGCCTTTGTAAAGCAGTCTTTACAAAGTAAGAAATAAAAAAGAGTAACTCTACAGATGAAAAGCATGCTATCAAACACATAGCTAATAATAATGGTAATAATATTTTATTGTTGCTATTATGACAATTACTATTTTAATTATGTCTATCAGCTGTGTGCTGTTATTTGTTATTGAAAGCTTTTATATTCTGTGTGGAAACAAGATTAAGATCTAACTACTGTGTTGTTTTTTTTTAAGAATGCCCACAAATTCTTCAGGCGACACCTGGCTGCAGTTAAATAAGATGCAATTGTGTGTGCCTGTGCCTCAGATGTGCTGCATAAAGCACAGAGAGCAGAGCTGGTACCCATGGCTTCTGAAACTGTACGTTTTGAATTCTCAGCTCCAAACTTGGCTGACTTATCAGGCTGACCTGAAGCAAATGACCCAAACCCAAATGACCAAATTTTGCTGCCAGGGATACAGAGAGTTTCCATGAGCTGACTCATGACTAACAGTTCTCACTGGTTCAAGAGTTTATTTCCAAAGACCCCAAATCTGGAAGATTTTCTCTAAGTATGCATGAACATTATCAGTAGTGAAAAACGTATCTGTAATTTTTAGGCAAATAAGGATGCGTGATTGGTTTCAGCATCAAAGAAAAAACAAACTCTCCCAAAATGTTATCCACCTGCTGAAATGTCACAGCCAGATTCTCTAGTGAACTGTACTGAGTAAGTTCATGCTTCAGCTTCATACTTTCCATTACAAGGGTTACAGGAGGCTGGTTTTAGTTTACAAAGCCTGCAACTTTGAGCCCTGAAGAAACCTGGTGTCTTTGAGACTTTCAAAAACAAAATTGACTGGCCTAGGAAACCAGAAGATAGCAGGAATGGACGTACATCTGAAACAAGACACACACTTAGGTAAACAAAGCTATATAAATTTGTTTGGTTGTTTGTTTTTAGTAGGAAATCACACAGGAAAAAACAATAATAAATAAATAAATAAATAAATAAAAGACCTAAAGAAGCCACCAATGGCTGAAATCTGCTCTTCCTTCCTCTCCTCAGTTACTGAAGAACCTAGTAGGGTTATTCAGCTCAACCTCTTCTAACCTCTAACTAACTAGCCTCTTCTTTTGTGTTCAAGTGAAAAAAAATAGTTTTTTTCTTTGTGTTAGAAGAGGACATCAGAGAAGAACCCGACACGCTACATTTTTTCCCGCTAATTATAAGAGTACAATTCATAGTCCTATGGTAAAACAACTAATTGAAGTTCATCCCTCAAAATATAATGACAAAAATTCACCTTCACTTAGAATTTCTTTTTTTTTTTTTTTTCCTAATTTTAATGACATTACCTCTAATGACTAATTTTTTGCTTTTTTATTACTTCTGAAAATGCAAATTTCCCATAAATCTAAATGTTTACCTGTGGCTTCTTCTAGTGTGGCAACATCCAGTCTAGGGCTATAATTTCCATAACCAGCAGCAGTAAAAGCACGAATCTGGAAAACATACACTGTTCCTGGCTTTAGGTTATTAATAGAAGCTGAAGTGGACTTTGTTTTTACTGTTGAATAGGTTCTCTCCCTTTGATCCTGGAAACAATAAGACAAAAGATTTAAATGACATTTATAGGTCAGATTTGATCATGGTTGCACATCAGCAACTGACAGCTTGCCTCGGTAGTTTATTTCAATTTGTTGAATGTTTTTTTTTTTTTTTTTTTCCCAACATAAAAAATAAAGCATACTCTGTGGAGTATTTATTACAAAACACTGTCATTGAAACGAGGAGGTCTTAAGTGTAACATAAAATTCAAATGGGATGCTCATGTTGTTACTCATAAAATATCTAGACATAAAATGATTGTTTCTTTGGCTCTGATTAGATTTGGAGTAATTTTGATGAAAAAATAGTTCAAACAAAACTTTCCAGGGGATATGTAGGGCTTAAACAGTTTAGGGGCAGGGAAATCTGTTATTTCATAGTCAGAACCTTTCTCTTCTTACATTCCAACACTTTAAAAAATTATAACAGTGCCAATGACTGGATCTTGCACAAATTCTGAGGTCTCTGTCTAAAACTTTTTAGTCTTTTCTCTGGCTTTTCTTGGGTTTTGACTCTATGGCATCAAGAAGAAGCCAGGGAGAAAAGCTCAGTATGAGACCCCCCAAATCTGAAGCTGTACGATTATAGATGCCGAGTAATTGCTCACTTTCAAATGCTATGAAAGCCCATAGGTCCTTATGATATTCAACAAGCTCTACTTGTTCATCACATTTATTGATCCAGACTGTTTCTGCAGAGATATATGCAGCCCTGCTGATTTTTGGTGCCAGATGCAACCCTGATTTGAAGGGCAGAAGAGATGAATTAACTAACCATCTGAATGCACCACATGATCAGAGAAGCATGAGCCATACGAGACGGTGTTAATGAGATGGATACAGAGGGAAAGAATAAATCTGTAACTCATTTCAATTTACCAGCTAAAAATGATGGAGAACCTTTCCCTTTGCAGTCAACAAAGCAACAAAGGCTTTTGCTGAAACACAGGGTTCAAAACAACATATATGATTTCTTTTTCAATAGATTCAGTAATGGCTTCTCCTGGGCCTTGCCCACTCTGTCATTTGAGCAAGCCCATCAGCTCAGCTAGCAACAATTTTTCATATCTTATACAAGAAAATGTAAATCATCTGTAAGTGAGGACCACGGTAGAATGTACATTGGTATGTGAGAAAAAACAGGAACGCTTGAGAGAGGAGAAACATAAATAATGAAACACTGTAAATAGTCATATATGTTCACAACTGTAAGCCACAATGGAATTTCAGTTTGGGTTTTGATGCATAAATGAGGCTTATTTGAATTGCCAGTTCTTGAATTTAGATATATGCATATATATTTAATAATAACAACAAAGAGGTAAAGATAACCTTAGCTAGAAATATCAGAGTACAGGCTTACTTGGGAGATTTGGGGCATTTTCCATTCCAGCCCTAGCCAGAAATGAGGTGGAAGAAAAAAAAAAAAACAAAAAAACACTTCTCAGAATATTTGATTTAATAGTTTGATTTAATTTGGCTCTAAAAGGAGCTGAAACTCCAAGAGTGTGAGAGGGGATAAATAACAAAACAGGTACAAAACTTAACTGCTTCTCTTGTTCTGAGCAAGAAGCTTATGAAGTACTTTTCAAGCTGATCTGCACTACCTTGGAAGGAAAGTAAGTATTTAAGTATTTGTTTTAAAATAGTCTCACTGAATTTAAGGCTTAAATTAATTATTTCATTATATCTGTGCCTGATTGTGAGATGAGGTTTTTCTTATCTTTTGTTAATTTTACCGTAATAAATAGAATACCAATGGCTTTCCTTCATTTAGAAAAATAACTTGACATCAGCTCTTGCCTTGGCAAACACAGGAAACTGGCCATGAAATTCCACTGCTTATTTAAAGTAACATTAATATGTAGATAAAATAATAAAAGTTATAATTTAACATTTATTATATATGAAAAGTCTAGTACTTGGGCATTTTTCTGTTATCTTCCTCATGGTATTTACTTTTTTTTTTTTTTTAATAGAACAGAAACTATCGTGGATATAAAAGCAAGCAAAATGGCATATATATATATATTTTTTAATCTGTGTGTGCAGAGGACAGTTCTGCTTTTGGTAAATATGCATTTTTTGTAGTGTATGGACTTCATTTGTATGATTGTGTGAGGGAGAAAAATTGCTTGCCAAAATTAGTAAAATTATTTTTGGAAAAGAAAGGTTTAGCTATCTGTACATATCTGTTAAGTTTTGTCATAAGAGTTATTAAAGTGAACAACTTAAAGTGGGACTTAGAAACAACAAATAAACATTTTATTCCCTTCCCAATCTATATAAATATCTATTGATAAGCATATTTGTGTAATTCAACACTGCAAATTAGATGCAACACATTATATTATGTTCAATCTGGTCTGAATTTATCTAATTGTATGTTAGCTAGTATGTTAGCTAGTTAGCTAATATGGTCTTTTTGATATAGAGATACTATTGCCCTGTTTGCACAGATGAGATGTTCTCACAAGTGATCACAAAAGAGGTCCTTTGTTCATTTCTTTGTATTTTCTTTCTTTCTTTCTTTCTTTCTTTCTTTCTTTCTTTCTTTCTTTCTTTCTTTCTTTCTTTCTTTCTTTCTTTCTTTCTTTCTTTCTTTCTTTCTTTCTTTCTTTCTTTCTTTCTTTCTTTCTTTCTTAATTTTCCTCCCAATATGCTTTATAAAAAAAATCAATATGCTATATGCTGCATTAAATTTCCTAGGGAATCTGGAGGAGCCACACTTAGTCTGGGTCCCATGACAAGCTTATAGATGCATAACCTTTCACCCCGTTTTCATCCAGCTTATGGTTGCTTTTCAGGTTTTTGTTTTGTTTTGTTTTGTTGTCTTTTTTTTTTCTTCTGGAGTACTTCAAAGTTATCACGAATGAAGCCTTAGACACACTGAAAGGAATGGCAAAACTCTAACTGACATCAATAACAGTGCAATTTCACTCGAACAGAAAAAGAGATCACTTCATCTACTATTGAAAAGCAGCCCTCAATTCATTACTGTATTGAGAAAAGGAGTGACAAATAAATCTCATGTTCCTGGGACTTTTTTTAAAAAGGACAAATAAGGAATACTTATCAACTAAAACTGTAGGAAGTGTTCTGGAAGTTTTCAGACATCAAGTCTGAGCTGCTCAACTCATAAAATAATACCAAATGAAGTCAAGAGTTGTATTTGATGTCTCATCTCAAGACTGGAATCACAGTGACACAGAAGGAAATGAAACAAGCCTTAAAAACAATGTAGGAGCAACTTTAAAATGATAAATCTCATGGTAAAATCTCCACAGCCTAACTTAATAACAGAAATACTGTGGGAAAAAATAATTTTAAAAAAATAAATAAAAAAGGCTGATTTTGAGTGGATAATTCACTTCTAGGATACCTAAATACAATATATGGAACATATGATAATAATAATTGCAGGGAATCACTAGTTATTAAAAGAGAGTGAAATCACTGTGACAGAAAAAAATGGGATAGTTGGTATTATAGCTATAGTTTTAACATTGTTCCACAATTTGGTGAGCCAACACAAGGCAAACAGCACATTGTTGTACATTACAGATAATCTAAGCACTTACTTTCTCATAATACTTGATTTCATATTCAGTAATGACTCCATTGGGATGTTCTGGTTCCTGCCAGGAAAGCTCCACGCTTCTCTGCAGCACTCTCTCTTTCATTACTCCACTAACTTGTGAGGGAGCTGTTTGGACAAGATGTATCAATAAATAATAAGCAAATTTGTTGGATGCCTAAAATCAAATGTCATTACTGATCCACCCCATGCTGAGCCACTTTCATTAAGGTAAAAGAAAGCACCTTTTCATAGCTCACAATTCAAAGCTAATGAATATTCAAACAGGACCCTATTACTGTTCATAAACTTAGAATGGAAATCAAATTAAAGTGCAAACAGCAAAAAAGTGGAATTGTTCAAGTTAGTCCAAAACCCAGATTGATGGGAATAACAATTAGGTAAGTGAATTCTGATTAAGATAACAAAATATATTTTTAGATTGATCTGTGGTAAATTAAGAGTCTAAGTATTTATTGCATATGTTTCAGAAATGATTATGAAAAGAAAAATAATGTGTTAGAAACAAAATTGAATTTTAGGCTGATTTCATGTAGTTACCAGTTCTCTTTAAAAAATAACCTGTTGCATTATCTGATTACATCATCACTCAGTGGTGAAAACAACTTTGTTGAGAGACTAAAACCCCTCTTTTGCATTTGCTCAAAACTTTCCAGGACATTCTGTCTTTAGTATTGAAGTTTCCGTCTTTGGTCTTGGTGTTTTGTGGAAATCTGAGACAATTTAAGAAGCAGGTCTTATGAAATAAAGGGGTCACTCTCTTCTTCCACCTCACTGCACATAGTTACGCATACACACACACATATGCACAATTTCCTAATAAACAACACACAAAGCCAAACATCATTTGAAATTTGTAAAAAGCAGTGTATAAGCATTATAGAGACATTGTCTCTCACTTAAAAATGGTTAAGAATTAACGTAATAAAATGAGTGACTGAAAAAGTAATTTTCCTGATCAGGTTACTTCGTGTTTAGCAAAAAAGAAAGACAGTGGATTTACAGCTGGTAGGTAGTTCCAAAGAAAACCTAACATTACACTTTTCCTCCACATGCTGCATATATGAACATAGCACAGAAATAGTCCTATGAAATTATAGCTCTTTAAAACAAACGAACAAACAAAGAAACAGCTATATCAGCTCTATCTATGCAGAGCTTGGTCTTGTTCCTTTTCAGTTTATTTGAAATAATTAAATTATTTTCAAGAGTGTTAACACTGCTCACATAGAAGACATAGAATGTGCAATTGGGTCCTCACATAAAGAGAGGACCCAATTGCACATTCTCTCTCCTCTCTCCCCACCCCCCCCTCGAGCCGTGGCATTTAGGCATCTAGGCAAAAGTAAAATGATTATGACATTTATGTGTATAAGAAATAGATGTATTTCACTGTATTTTGAGAGCAGATTCATAGACAGGAAAGTAAAGAAAAGGTAGAGATAAATTTATTTATAACTACTATTTTGAAAAAAACATACTGAAAATTTAATACTTTTTTTTACAGAAAAAAAAAAAAAAATCAGCTTTCTTTCAGACCTGCAGACAAAGCTTTCATTAAGTAAAATTATTCCCATTGATTTCATACCAATAAAATTATTTTACAGAACAAGGATATTTTGATGCAACAAGTAGGTGAATTTCACCTTCATTTTCACCATTCATCTCAAAGTCTAATTAAATTAATTCCCATTCTAATATTCTTTAGCACACCCGCTTTCCTTAATTTAAAGAATACAGAAATAAAACAATGAGAACACATATCTCTGTTAGCCAAGATAAAACTATAATGATAAAGTAAAAATCTTTAAAGCACAACCAACATGATAATCTTCTAGTAAACTTAAAATTTGATTGTTAACTTCATATTTTAATCATGTTACTAGCCTTTTGTATTATAACGTATATAGTTATATAGGTTTTAAAATCAAATTCATTTACATTTCATTAAAGACGGCAGGAATCCATGAAAATTAAGGATAGAAGCCATGCATAATTTTCATTATAAACTATTATAACTATTATTCAATATAATCAAAGTTGAGGACCCCTTAATGTAGGCTGCCAAACTGATAAAATCATGAAATTATGCAAACACCATGGGTGATAAAGCATTTCAGAGCCAGGATCTATCTCTTCTTATATTCTCTTTCTAAAAGCTTGGAGTATTTTTACTCTCTAATTAGCTTTTTCTCTTTTTCTTTCTCTTTTTTTTTTTCTTTTTATTTTTTTCTTTTTCTTTTTCTTTTTCTTTTCTTTTTTTTTCTTCCTCTTCCTCTTCCTCTTCCTCTTCCTCTTCCTCTTCCTCTTCCTCTTCCTCTTCCTCTTTCTCTTTCTCTTTTTTTTTCTTTGGTAGCTAAGAGTGTGGAATGCAGCAAACTAATTTACTCTGTCTAATTTTCTGTACCACGATTAACTAGTTGTCTTCTTTGTCTAAATGAGCAGCACAGTATCCTGGCTGAATTTCAGAGAGGTCATTATGATTCATGTATAATGTTATATCTCATCCAGATTAATGTTTTCAAACTGTTAGTTTTACATTTTTAGATATCCAAAATTCTTAATGTTCATACTTCTAATGAAATAATTTTATAGGTCATTGGAAATTGTTCTCAATATTCACTGCCTTTTGTTTTACCTTATTATTATTTTTTCATTCTGTTGGTCATAGCATTCACTTTTTTAAGCATTCAAGCAAAATAAACTCACTTCCTCTGGCATTAATGAAGTCTGCAGATGTGGGGAAGGAACAGCAATGTGGGGAAGGAGGAACAGAGAAGGGGGAAGATGAAACAGAATAGAGGAAGTGAAATATACTGTACAAGATTCCCACATAACATCCACACATAGTATACACAAACAGGCATATTCCTTTCTGAAGGGATTTCCATGAAAAAGAAAATCTGAATGATTTATCAGCATTGCAAGCTAATATGCAAAAAGTCTTAAATAAATGAGCTTTATTTCCTGGTAATTAATATTCTCTTCCTTCAAGAATGATGAGATTAAAAGGTTTTTGTTCGTTTGTTTGTTTGTTTTTCCTAGCTGAAAGCATTCTACCGTATTTCAATGGTAGAAGAACCCACATAAGGTGGAAGAAAGAGCCCAGCACTTCAGACTCACTGCAGGTCAAAAATGTTGGTAATTTTGACCTAGATATGTCTTTGACCTAGGTATGTCTTTGAAGCTCTGAAAATGATAAGGTTGTATATAATTCCCATAATGGATGATATTCCTAAAATGCATTAAATTATCTAATCTTATTTTGTGTCCTACTTAGAGCCCTGACATTTGTTCGGGGAAGAAGGGAATAGTCGAATGGGTTGAAGCCAGAGTGTCAAAGTACACCTGGCAAAGTACACCATCCTATTGCCACTGGAAGAAAATCTCTGTAAACTAGAGCAACTGCATAAGCCAATTTATTGATGTTAAATGTACATGTTAAATGTGTTAAGTGTACATGCTATCTTTATCCTGCCTTTTTGGTTGCATTTCTGTGCTTAGTGAAAGCATACAGGTCAGAAGCATTTTATTCTTTTTTTCTAGTAAAATCATTTCCTCTGTATACTCTCTGTACCTTTCTTACAGAGTGTTTTGCATTTGTATTTTATTTGTTCTTGCTTCCTGATACCTCATGTTAAGCCTTTAGCCCATGTCTCATTGCCTACCCATGTTAATTAATTAATAATTTATGATTTTGAAACAACTATCAGCAAGCTTGAAAATGAGTTAGTTTGCAATTCAACCCTAAATACAAACTAAAATTTGGTATTAAACCAGATTAAAAGATAAATCTATAAAAACAGAATTAAAAATACCATTTTTTGTTCCCTTTGCTAGCTAAAGTAGTAAGTTAAACACATTTATTTTTTTTTTAGTAATCTAATTTTTGCTACTGCAACTATAACAAAGTTGTTCATGATGAAGACACTTACAGAATTTGTAGACAACTAAGTATCCAGTCCAGAGTGATATGAGCATGCATAATCCCTACTGAATCTTTTCAGGTAACAAAGAAGCATCACTTGTCAGGATCATTATTTCCATAATATATTACACCAGGGGATACAGGCTGTTCAAAACACCATTTGCTACCAACTTTCTTTCTGATATACCTCATCTCCTCCTTTACTCCTTCCTGCTGACACAATATCCAATGCATCAAACATACGCAGCCTCTCAGGGCTAACAGGCAGATGTACCTACACATGCTGCATAAGAAAGTACTTCTAGAATGACAGGTTCTCAGCACACTCGTTCACCTTTTTAAAATGCTTCAAATATACCATTCAGCAAAAGGAAAAATTGATTTTTCACCAGGTTTCAACATCACAGCCACAGAGAAATATAACTCTGCTGGGCTTTACTGATAAAGCCTTCAAGTTATATAGATTTCAAGCTGGTCATCATTTCCAGATCAAGTTATAGAAGAAGTTAAAACTGAGGTGTCAAAAAGAGCAGGATATTCCAAGGAAATATCCCGTTCCAGGGAGAATATTGTGTCTGGTAGACTGATGTGCTGCATTCATACTGCTAAGCCAAGCATATAGTATATTATTATATACCAAAAATACATGCATAGAAAATTGCAGTGTTGTTTAGAAGGCATTGTTTTTAGTCCAGAGTTCTGTGAAAATATTTTAACATGATATTACTCATGCCTTAGCTCTGTCATTAACTATTCTCTGGCTCTCATGCCTAACATTTCTCTTTATTTGAAGTGTACTTTCCAAAAGACAAAGACAGATGCAAAATTAATTTTTTTTTTGCAATTTGTAACTGAAAAAAAAAAAAGAAGAAGAAGAAAAAAACTACAAAATGCTAAAACAAAGACATATAAACTGAAAAATGAAAACGTGAAACTGGACTTACACATACAGGAGAAGCTAGGTATTATGTGCTGATTTCTAGCACAAAATCAACTCTAACACTGTTTTCATTAAGAAAAAAAAAAAAAGTTGTCAACAAAAGAAATCTACTTAGCTATTTCTCTTTTCTGAGATTTATTCAACCTCTGCATAATGAATGTGTCTCAATTTCATCTGGCAGCATGGAGACTTTTCATCTGATACTTTTAAAAAAGTCTCTCTAGAAACAGCATTTCTGAG